GGATTTTTACTCTGATTTTTTAAAAAGAACAGATCTCTTGCATCAGTAGGCCAGAGGAACGTGTACAAGGAGTATGCTTTCATAAAAGCTGATGCTGCTTGTGAAAGTTAGGTCTGTTCCAACGCACTATTCAGAAACAAAAGAACTAAAAAGTGAATTTAGTACCATAGCTGCCAGAGGTGCTTATAACCATAGGTGCAGCTCTCCAATAATTTCCTCAGCTAATGTCTGCATAGAAAGACATAACCTATGACAGGATCTCTCTATTCAACACTCCTTCTCTAACTAAAACTCAGCGACTCACCGCACAGCAGGTGCAGAGAACAGAGTCACCGAGCCAGCAGCTGACAGCTAATTCAAAAGGTAGTAAAGCAGAAATTCTCTTGCTGTTAATAACTTTTTGACCTCTTCATTGTCAGCTGGTCTCATCAAACTGTAATCAATGAATGTTTTCCCTATATGCAAGCTGTTAAGAAAGGAAGTTAATTGGCTCGCTTGAAAGATTTAAAGCAGATGAAAGTTTGGAGTGGTTTCACAGTTTTCCAGGGACTGTTGTGGAGGAATAGCTGCAGAGACACTGCAATGCAGCACAGCGCAGCTCGCAGACCACTGCTACTGAATATTTTGCAAAAATCTTAGGGCTAAGTTCTACCCTTTCACACTGCCGCAGGGGGAAGAAATGTGAGCGTTTGAGACTAAAATGTGCTATAAAGCTTTGTAGCAGCTTCATTAGGAGTCCAGTATTCTGTCTACCCTCACTACCAAGCTGTGTCTTTCAGGACAAATTATCATTATTTCAGACAAATTTCACCTTCCTTTTAAAATGTGTTTCAGTTTCACTGAGAAAATGTTTTTTTCTTAACTCCTTCCATACTGGGCTGTAATTTACAACTGTTGCCATTAAAATAAAAATATGTCCTGCATAAAAACCTGGAAGTGTAAAAAAGCGTTTCCCTATGTGGTATATATTCCTATTTTAATTTCTAATTAATTCTTTAATAAGGACACATTGGTCCACCCTAAGATTATTTTCCTCAGGCTTTTATTTTGCAGAAGGGCCTACTAACTAGCTCCATATTTGTACAAAGTTTTAAAAGAATTCTGAGAGTTGCTAAGCTGGGAGGAGAGTTAAAATGCTTCCAAGAGTATGAAAAATTGGAGAGTAAAGCTAAATATAAGTGATTGATTCCTCATCTAATTTTGTTCTAAATAGGTTTTGGTCTTTAAATTTTCTTTAATTTCATTTCAACCATGTGTAGAAGACGTGAGCAGCACATGAATACAGGTAGCTGTCTTTTTAAAGCCTGCATGATGGATAGTGTACTTTGAATATATGTATAAACCTCCAGATGAACTACATCCACAATGATTATCAGAGATCATGATGCTTAACATTACTTGACCTCCATTTATACATTACATGTGTGCATAAGATACTGAACACAGGTTATTTTAAGTTTTTAAAATAAAAATAAGGAATGACTCAAAAAGCCCAGAGTTATGGCCACTGTTCCTACAGTTATGAACATATACGGCTCACTGCTGAGCTCTGATTTTTTAATCTCTGTGATTTGTTTTCCTCTTGTTCCTAATAGCCTTTCCATATTTTTGTTCACAGAATTTGTATTTCTGTTTGGACTTCCATACCTCTTTTTTTCACTTCTATGTCTGAGAGAGATGAGGGAAATAGAGATGGTGAGTGTACATGAGGAAAACAGGGATTGAAGAGCAGAAGAGCTGAGGAGTTCTCCATCCTTCATAGTATGCCTTGTATTTCCATTCAACTCCTTCGCATGAAATCACTGTTTGTATTTTCCATTCTCCCTTTGTTCACTGTATCTGTGTTCTTTTATAGAATTTTCTCCTATTTCCAAGACCACTTTCATCTGAGGGACAGGCAATGTGGTTCAGATAAGCATTGTCACCAACCACAAGTCTGATAGCATTCAAAAAACGTTGTGATGCTATTCTATTTTATCTGAGTTAGTCTCTGCACTTGTTTATTCCAGACAAGATGAGACAACAAAGTGCCATAATATCAAGAGGAAAGGAAATTCAAGTTGATGGCAAGCACTAGATTCTTTTTGCCACCATTGTCATGAGGTTTGCTGCCACGTCAATACACATGTGAGGGGAGTTCAAATGTGAGGCTATGATGAATTTTTGACTGAATCAAGGAAAGGGAAATTTAAACTTTGACAGCTGTTTCTATAGCAGTCACCTCATTTTCTTCCCATAACAAAGTATATTATTTGTTTTGGAGACACTATATTATTGCCAAGATAAGCGTGTTGCAAGCTTTTCTGTACTGCATAAAAACTAAATTATTGGAACACAGGTTTTTCTACTAACAATTTTATTTACTAAACATCAGCTGGTTTATAATATTGATGGTACTCATAACGTCATCACTTAATACCTGAAATATCAATAGCTAAAGGTTTCATTGAATTTTTGCAACAACATCTAAAAGCTTAATAAGCTGGAAAAGATAAAAAAGATATTGGTTAACATTTTCAGTGGCTATTCCTGGATCTCCCAAAAACCCTAAAACTGTAGTAATAACTCAGAAATTCCAGTATGAAAATGGAAAAATCAAGCTACAAGCTTACTCTGCTTATGTACTTTGCTTACTAGTCTTGAAAGCATTTTAAAGTGAGGAAGCCCTGGAGAAAGCACAGCTATATAGTTTTAAGACTGTATTTTATGACTATGTTCCACTATATGCATCAAGATAAGATATGGTAAATAAGAGATCAGGTATAAATTACATAGAAAGGACAAAAAAATGTTGTGCAGGATCTTTAGAACAAAATAAGTATTTATGTCGATATAGAGTGTCTTTCTATATATTGATATATATATAAATATAGAGAGGCTTTCTATATGACCCATAAATCCTTAAATAATTCCCTGTGAAGGTTATTTAAAGAACTATTTTAAACCTGTTTCATCTTTCTTTGCTGTTAGGGAAATTTTAAAGAGTGAAATACTTAATTTCATATCTCTGCTTATACAGTTTGCATTATCCAACACCGCTGATTAAAATGAAATACTTCAACTGTAAGAAAACACATGCTGGGCAACTACTGAATGATCTCACTACATTAAAAAAATCAGTCATTTCCTATAAAAAGGCTAAATTTCAGACCTTGTTCTTTACCAGCTCTACTCTCTTTGGTGTGTTTTGCACAATTTGGGTGAAACAGAAAACTGTGCTTCACTGACAACAAGTCATGCAGTTGGGACTAGTCTGCCCTCAACAGGGTTTGTGGTGAATGAAGCAGCATTATCGGAAAGACAGGCTAAATATGCAATATAGTTCTTGATGGATTTTATCAACATAATTTGAATTGCATGTTCACCAAAACTGAATTTGACGTATTACAGAGCTGGTAAAATACAGGGTAAAAAGATGTCAACTGAAAGTTCAAATATAATAGGAAAAAATCTGTCAAGTGATGTATTTTTCTGTGTATTAACAATGGCATAGAATAATTCTGAAATGCCAGTGACTGCTACAAGTACTCAGACACCATGGTGATAATTGCAGTATAAAATTGTCAGACAGCAAACAAGACTGCTGGAACTAATGGGAACATGGTTTTATTCAGAATCCAGTGTGGATAGCTATCTCTAATGGAATTGCTTTTCAATACTTTTTCTTTGAAATAACTGATTATTGCTTATGCAAGTCTATATTAATGTGTTCCATTTATTTAACTAAAGAACAGACACTTGTAATTTCATTTGCTCTCATCTGCCCATTTCTTAGTATGGCCTAATTTATTCTGCTCGGTGACTCAAGTGCACATAAAACGATGCATGATACCAGATCTGAAGCACAATTGTAAGCTGGACTAAAATATCATCTGTTTTTCTCTTTGTGTGCTGTCACCAGGATCCAGAGAAACAAAAGAAAGTGTCATGCTGTATAAACTCTGGCAGTACTAATTCATCTCCCCAGTGTCTCTGAAAAAACTGAGTAGCTGAACCTGTTATTAGAGCTGTTCTGTTTCACCTGAGATCTACACGTGTCCTAGGCTGGGCACAATCACGCAAAGTCAACAACTTGTGTTGACAGATCATAGCAGGACTTGTGAATTGAGCTAGAATTGTTTACTGAAAACTGATAAAATGGTGCCAGCACGTCTTCACAGACACCTGTAGTTGCTGAATTCACCTGGAAACAGTTTTGAAGTAACAACTACTGTGGACAAAAACCACTTTTAGTTCCTATCAGAAAGTAATATTCCTTTAATTAATTCATTGATAGCCTCAGATATAGGAGTCATATCTCATGAACAATGAGAAGGAGTTCTGCCACTTAACTCTGGGCTCATAAAATCAATCAATCTCTACTTCCCACTGAAACTGCATTAAACTCTAGAAAGTTAAATATTAGCCATCAAAATCTGGATGAGATACATCCCACCTTAAATGTCTTATATTTTGCTGAATTTCCTGTTGATGCTTTTATTTAGAAAGTTGTCATATTCTCTAGTAAGTACTTGGTATCTAGGGCTAATTGCCCTGGAGGTACAAGGATACCATCATCCAAATGTAGTAATGGGAAGATCTATGCATTTGCCAGGAAGCGTTTATCATTGTTTAATTCTGATCTGACCGCCTGAAGCAACTTCAGATCTTCCTGGCATTTCTGTTCATTCTTAGCTTATCTTTTGCTTATCTCCAGGAGACTAGAAAAGAACGTAAAATGAGAAATAATGAAATTAAAATTATTAACCAAGTGTTGATTACTGTCTTATTATATGTACATTTAAAGATAGCTCTTACAGTTGCATAAAATACTTCTAAAAGCAAAGTCTGTGATAAAAAATACAGCCACTTTCTTGGGAAAGAATTGCCACTTGAATTTTTCTTCCAGATGACTTCTGATGATAGCTGGGAAAAGCACTATCTACAGCAGCCTCATCCTTTTAAGTGGCTGGCTTTAAAGCACTTATCTTTTACCATATATCTTTTATTATTTTGCTTACCCTCCGGCTGGTATTGTGCTATGATTGTTACCGTCTGCCCTGCTCCTTTCAGCGCAGCTGCAGCCTGCTCGTGGGTAGCACCTCGAAGATCAATACCATTCACCTACAGAAGGAATGCAAACAACAACAGATCTGAGTAGTTTAATATTAAACAGAAAGACAGAGATTTTTTATTATTTTTTTTTTTAATATCTGATGTATGTAAAGGTCAGGTTGCCCAGATGAGAAAGTGAAAATACAAAACCAAAAAGGCTGAGAGGATGTAACCTATGAGTGGCCATGAGGATCTGCACACCATAGCTTGCCTATGCTTATCCATGCACATGCTCTAACCATTGCTTTTTGGGGTTTCCTGCTCTATTTAGTTTAGATTTTTTGCAACCTTCATTAATCAATATCATTTAATATATAAGGTTCAAATGATAAATTTCCTGTGGTGCTTGAAGGTCACCATAGAATACTGCAAGCAAGGAAACTGCTTCTGCAGACAGACTCTGCAAGCCCAGTCTATAGCATCAGGGAAACCTGGAGATACACAGAGCATCTCTAACAAAAACTGCTGGTTGGGAACTTCCTGAGCAGAAACCTCATCTACCATTTTATTTTCATGTGATTCCTCCTCCTATTGCCTAGAAATACCCCCAGAACTTGCACACGATAGCAATGGAGTTGCTATCAAATACAGCTTCACCACTTCTGGCTGTTTGACATAAAGAGATCTGTTTATGGGCTTCCTCTTGCTTAACAATTTCTTGCTGTATAAGCAGTGGAAGTGGAAAAGAGTGGAAGAAAGTAGGGAATCCAACCCTAAAACTCAGGGACAGTTTCAGAACTCTTTTGATCTGTGTTTGTGTTGTTAAATGTTTTGCCAGCAGCATCCCAAGGAAGAGACAGAATTCATATATAGAATTAACTGCTCCAGTAACTTGAATCTTGCTTTCCTGTGGGAGTCTGGTTATACTGAAGTGTGTGAGATTTCTTATTTCTTGTTATTGGTTTATATATTTATCTGTCTTTCCTCTTCACATCTAGTTTCCACTTCATAATGTTTCAGTAAAGAACAGGAAACTTTTGACATGTAAACAGCCTCAGCAGGACAGAAATCCATTTCTGATTGCTCAAGAAAAGAAAAGAAAAAAGAAAGGAAATAAAGGGTAGGGGAAGGAGAGAGATCAATGCCATAGATTTCACAGGCAAACAGGCCAAAATACAAGCTCCAGATTCTCAGCAACTTCAACTATTTTTGTTTAGAAAGTCCAGGAAAAAAACCAATTAGTAATTTTGTTTAGGCTGAAGCTTAAAGACTGTAGACTTCAGGAGAATACAAGCCTCTCCTAACAGGAGGTCCACAAGATTTGTGTTAACAGAACATGAAGCTTTAAAAATAATTAATAAATTATAATAATCTCTCTATAGATGAAAGGAGAGGATGTATGAAAGAATAAAGAAACCACACGCTTATTCGCCTTCCCCTCTGAAAAACAATAGTTCTAAACTATATGTGATCTGATAACTAAGATCCTAATAATGCATCAGGAATATAAATATAATACAGGAATTCCACCAAAGGTAAGTTACACAAACATTTTTCACTTGTTCCACAGAACAAGAAGCCACTGATATGGTAACTGACAACTTTCTGCCCTTTGCATGCTTATTCTGGAAGAAACAATTGCCTAAAGTGCAAATACAGCCTATTACAGTGAATGTATTTCTCTGAAATTAAGTTCACTTTTCTGCTAGGACATAGACTGGGATGGACACTTAAGGAGGAGTTGTAGCTCTGCGTGTCTGAAGTCAAAAGAATAAGGAAAAAAAGTGCCACAGAGAAAATAAGACATCAATTCTATCCTCTGCAATTTTTATCAAGATGATAAACAAGTTAGATAAAACAGATTAATGTTGAACAGGTAAATGACCTGACTACACTATGTTATCAAAATAGTGATCTCCCTCTTGAAGATTCACACCTGTAGAATAAAATAAAACAATCAGTGCCAAATAGGTAGGTAGAAGTCTGTTTGCATGCTATTCAGAATGCAAATTAATGCTACTTGTGTTACATTTAGAAAGGATTTATAATCTAGTCTGAATTTCTAAAGAACAAGAAGAGTGGATGTATTATTTCCCAATATTTAAAATCAAACATAATCAAGTCCCAAGCCTTCTAGTTGAAAAACAGCATATTCGTACAGCAACATTAGATCTTTATGAAAGACACCATTAATTTCTACATTTTAATCAAATTCTTACCCTCAGGCCAAAATGAACAAGAGTTTCTAATAGGGTAAAATAAATAAGACTCTGTCTTGTCTCTTCCTCCAAAACAATGTCTTAATTACAACAATTGTGTGCAGTGATGTCTTTCCCTGACATGATTTCATTGCAAATTGTTAAATCTGATTTCAGTTACTGCTTTCAATTAATTTAATGTAGTTTATGTCAAAAATAGTCAGTAAAAGAAACAAAAAAACCCAGAATAAGTTGCAAGTGTGTGCAGGAAAGTTTAATACATATCAAAGGTGTGTTTGGTTATTTTTTTCATTTGGTTGGTTGTTTTTTTTTCCCTTTTTTTCTTATTAAATGGCCTGGCTTCCTTTAAGAAGCATTATACAATAAGCAAAGTAGCACTGCTGTTCTTGGCTTGACTGCACAATCCTGATGTCCTGGCCCAGAATGAACTTGACTGCACAATTTCTGATGCCTAACTCCAAAACGAATTTGACATAATGGAAATAAGAAGAGCCTCCAGCTTATACAGATGTCTGTCTCTTCTGCACGCTGTGGTGAAAAGCAGTTAGAAAGCTTACAAACAAAGAGAAGTGACTCAATAGAAGATTATAGTTTAAAACTACAGACAAAACTAAACTGAGATGGGGAAAAAGAAGCAACTATAGTTCCCAGTATTTATAGTAATTGCCTTTGCAGTCACTGACTCAAAATAAAGCATGATCTACTTCAGTAAATACTGAATGATAATCTAAATGAGAGATAAGATTTATATTTTGGATAGATTGAGCTCTTCTAAAATTCCCTTTAAAAAATTTTTAATACCCCATATTAGCAAAAATCTGAACAGTCTCATATAAAAGCCCAGCCCTTGAGCAGTGATCTTTTACAGCTGAGACAGGCCATCTTTGCAAAGCCAAGCTTGAGGCTGAAGCTCTGCAGAGCACTGCAGGATGGAACCAGTGGGGAGCATGGCTGTGGGAAATGGCACCCCAGGGAAAAAATGGTGATCTAGGAGAGATTTTGTCTTAGAATCATAGAACCACCTGGTTGGAAAAGACCTTTGAGATCATTGAGTCCAACCGTACCTGTCTGCTACTAAACCATAACTCTGAGCACCCCATCTAACCATCTTTTAAACACCTCCAAGGATGGTGACTCAACCACCTCCCTGGGCAGTCCATTCCATTGCCTGAGAACCCTGTCAGTGGAGAAATTTTTCCTCATATCCAATCTGTACCTCCCCTGGTGCAATTTGGGGCCATTTCCTCTCGTTCTATCACTTTTTACTTGGGAGAAAAGACACACACCCGCCTTGCTCCACCCTCCTTTCAGGTAGTTGTAGACAGTGAGGTCTCCCCTGTCTCCTCTTCTCTAAACAACCTCAGTTCCCTCAGCTGCTTCTCATAAGGCTTGTTCTCTAACCTCTTCACCATCTTTGTTGCCCTTCTCTGGACACGCTCCAGTGCCTCCATGTCCTTCCTGTAATGAGGGGCCCAAAACTGGACACAGTAGTCAAGGTGCGGCCTCACCAAAGCTGAATACAGGGGAAGATCACTTCCCTGGTCCTGCTGGCCACACTGTTTCTGATATAGGCCAGGATGCCATTGGCCTTCTTGGGCACCTGGGCACACTGCTGGCTCATGTTCAGCTGCTGTCAACCAACACCCCTAGGTGTTGGTTGACAGCAGCTGAATTGTTCACCCCCAGCAGAGAATATGACTGTCCAGGCTGGTGGCAGCCAGTTTCTCAAGCAGAATGCTGTGGGAAATGGTGTCAAAGGCTTTACTGAAGTCCAGGTACGCTACATTCACAGCTTTTCCCTCATCCACTAAGAAGGTAACCTTGTCATACAAGGAGATCCGGTTAGTCAGGCAGGACCTGCCTTTCACAAACCCATGTTGACTGGGCCTAATCACCTGGTTGACATGCATGTGCTGTGTGATAGCACTCAAGATGATCTGCTCCATCACCTTCCCTGGCACCGAGATCAGACTGACAGGCCTGTAGTTCCCTAGATCCTCCCTCTGGCCTTTCTTATAAGTGGGCATAACATTTGTCACCCTCTAGTCAAGTGGAACCTCCCCAGTCAGCCAGGACTGTTGGTAGATGATGGAAAGGGGTCTGGAGAGCACCTCTGCCAGCTCCCTCAATATCCTCAGGTGGACTCCATCTGGCCCCATAGACTTGTGCATGTCTAATTGGCTGAGCCGGGCTCCTCCTGGATCATGGGAGCTTTCTTCTGCTCCCCATCCCTGTCTTCTGGCTCAGGGGGTTGGGTACTCAGAGAGCAGCTGGCCTTACTATTAAAGACTGAGGCAAAGAAGGCATTAAGTAGCTCGGCCTCATCCTCATCCCTTGTCACTACTGTTCCCTCTGTATCCAGTAAAGGATGAAGATTCTCCTTGGCTTTCCTCTTCTTGTTAATATATTTATAGAAACATTTTTTTTATCCTTCACAGAGTTGGCCACATTAAGTTCTAGTTGGGCTTCAGCCCTTTTGATATTTTCTCTGCAAGACCTCACTTCATCCTTGTAGTCCTCCTGAGATGCCTGCCCCTACATCCAAAGCTCATAGACTCTCCTCTTTTTTTTGAGATCCACCCAAAGCTCTCAGCTCAGCCCAAGCCTGTTTTCTTCCCCACCTTGCTAGTGAAGAAAAAGTTTAGAAACAGAAAGCAAGGAGAAATGCACAGGGGGGACAGAGTTGTCACTCTCTAGCTTAGCTTCTGTTAAATTTTTCAGTCGCCCTTTATCACTTTTCTCTTACTTTTCTCACTTCTCCTAATCTTTCCTGTGACTACACTTTCT